GTATTTTTACAGTCTGTATTTTACAGTTAAAATATATGTTTATTAAATAAAGACTAATGTTACAACTAAACATGGATCCCTTTAAGACTCCCCCACACACCCTTGTAAATTCATTTTTGGTTTTCCAGACAGATAAAAGGATTTTCTGCTTCCAAGAAAAGACCAAATTTAGAGAATGGATTAAAGAAACAGAACATTAGCTCAACCTAATTTTCCCCCCTCAGTTGCTGTGCTAGAATAGGTCTACTTCAACTAAAAAAAACARATTTCAGCCTCAAAATATAATTATTTTTAGGCTTAAGTTGCAATAATACCTGTATAACCTGCTCATATTTCTGAACGGTTCTTTGCAAATCATCCTCCTTCTGGGAAATCACCTTCTTCAGCTGACTGGCTTCGTCACGATGACAGTGGATGAGCTCCGTTTCAACAGCCTGGGCTTTGGCTGCGAGGACAAAAAAAAGTCAGAATTAGTGTCTTAGTTCATCCAATAATCAGTTTATTATGTCCCCCCGCAAGCAAAACAGGGGTCATATTGTTTTTTTTAAACATTTTATTTATTTTATTATTTTTTTGTGACTTTTGGTCCACCGCAGCACGGAAACAGCTGCACCGACCAACATGAAAATATGGTAGGAATGTAGATGTGTCTGACCTACACTGTGGCAGCCAACGGTTTTACAATAGACCCCATATTTGAGGAGGGGGCTCCATCTAAAAAGGGGGTGTCTGGACATACAAAAACGCTTATAACTCAAAAAATTATTCAACGTAGGAGCATCAGATTTTTTTGCCATTTAGCAATGAAGGGTTATCCCTCCACTGAGCCCCACTCACCCAAAACAATAAATCTGTTCTGGTGAATTAGTGCTTTGCGTACGTGCAGGGGTCATATATGCTCCCGCTATGCAGTATCTAGTTAATTGCTTAAGTTTAGTTTAATTTATTCACTTCATTTAAAAATAAAAAAATTATCCACACACAAAAAATAAAAAATAATACAAATCACACTCAAAATAAAAGGAGGCAGAAAGATGAAAAAATCTTATATCTGCCCCTTTTTTGCCAAATTAATTTTCAATAATAATAATAAGAAACAAAACCAAATAAAAACTTAATCCTTTTCAAACAACAGCTTTTGATATGCATTATACAACTTCATATTTCTTTAACAAACTTYTTGTAATCATTCTCTTAAACAAACACACTGAACCAACACTTTTATAATCACTTTCCAGATTATTCCACAATCTTATTCCTTGAACTGAAGTACATCAATCCTTCAAATTTGTTCGAATTTTAGGTTTTATAAACATCTCAAGTCCCTTAAGATTATATAAATGTTTTCTCTTAACAAAACATAACTGGATGTTTTAAAGGTAAAAWTTCTTTATGAGCCTTTATGATATTATAATCAACTAACTCATAAAATTTTAATAATTTCAATTTACAAAATAATATATTCGATGGTTGACTAATGTTTTCTGGTGATAATTCTTACAGCTCTTTTCTGTAAAATAAAAATAGAATTTGTGATTGTTTTGCACTCTTTACCCCAGACTTCAACAAAGTAGATCAAGATAGCAAACAAATTTAAAAAAATAAATGTCTTGTTACAGTCTTCTCATAATACGGTTGTAAAGGAACATCAGGTTTATTTGATTATTTGCTATTTTAGGGCACTGAAATAATATGACCACAACAGAAAAGCCATTTCTRATTTTGTTTTCATAAATCTTGTCATTTTGTTTCTCTCTCTCACCAATGGTCTCCTTCACGGATGTCTCGAGCTCCTGCTCCTTCAGAGCCATCTGTGTGTTGAACTCCCTCATTAACTGCTTTATAGTAGAGTTGTGCTTCATTGCTGCATCTTCCAGCTCCAGCCTATAAGAGCAGACCCACATGGTGACGATACGGGAAAATATTTACATACATCACAYCAGCTTCACCTATTTTTAATTATTTGTATTTCCTGGAGCTGAACTCACTTCATCCTTTTCTCGCTCTCCTCCAGCAGCTCTTTCTTGATGCACTCCAGGTCGTGCTCGTGCTCCTTCCTGAGCGAGCGCATGTCTTTCTGTAAACTCGTGAAGTCCTTCTGGATTTTCTCCTTTTCGTTTTTCATCTGGCTGAGTTGACCTTTGAGCYTTTGCAAAGACTTCTCCTCCTCCTCCTGCGTTGGAGAGTGGTTTACCATCACACTTGTGGTTTGCTGCAAGCTGCTACGTTCCACCTTCACCTCGGCGTGTGGCYAGCTCTGGGCGGCCTCCGCCTGATGCTGAGCGATCCGGACGTCCTTCTCTTGGATTTCCTCTTTCAGATTATTAATTTCTGCGAGGAGCTTTTCGATCTGCTCCTCTGCTTCTTTTAGCTTTGCCTGGACTTGGAGCAGCTCTTCCTGTTGCTCTCTGTGAAGCTTGACCCTCAGCTCCTCTAAAGACGTCTCTTTCTCAAGCTTCTCGTTACTCAGAATCTCTTGGAGTTTTTTCTCCTGCTCCTCTTTGACCGTGATGAGAGCCTCTTCGAGAGTTCGTGTTTTCTCTTCCAATGCTTCCATTTGGTTTTTGGCCGAAGCTTCGTCGTTCTGAAGAGCCTTAACCGTCTGCTCTTTCTCCTCCAGCTGTGCGGTCAGCTGTTTTTTAATCTGACCAATCTTCTGCTCAGCCTTCTTCTTCAGCTCGGACACTTTCCGAGCGCTCTCCGCTGATAACCTCTCCTCGGTTTCCTTCAGGCTCTCCTCCTTCCTCCTGATGATCTCACCCTTCGCCCGCTCAAATTCCTCCTGCTGACTCTCCAGCGCGTGTTTGCACTTTTGGTTTTCTTCCTGGAGCGAGCGCAGCTTCTCCGCCATCTCCTGCTCCAAACTGCCGTTCTGAGCGCACTGCCGGAGCTGCTCCACCAGCTCCCTCTTCTCGCTCTCCCTGACGTCCCGTTGCTGCTCGAGGTCGGAGGCGAGCTGCTCGCACTCTCTCGTCTTTAAGGCCAACTGCTCCTGGAGCTCGCCCACTCGACCCACGCAGCCGTGGAGCTCCTGAGTGAGGTCGCTGACCTTCTGCTCTTTTTCACTCAACACCTGGTCCATCTCGGACTTGCTGATGGACTGATTGTCGACGCTTGCAGACAACCTCTGCAGGGCTTCGTTCTTCTCCGAGATCTCCTCCTGCAGCTCCTCCAGCCTCGCCCGCAGAGACTTAATAGACTCTGAACTGCTCTTCTTTTCCTGCTCTAATCTCTCAACGCTCTCTTTCATCCGTTGTCTTTCCTCCTCCTGCTGCTGCTTCAGCTGATTTATGGCTTCCTCCTTGTCTTTTACGCTACACTCTAGCTGGGTTTTCAAGTCTGCGACCGTGCTCTCCAAGTCGACCGCGCGCAGCTCGTTTGTTTCCAAAGCTGCGCCCAGCTCCGCCGTTTTCCGACCGTGTTCGTCGATGTGCCGAGAAAGACTCTCCTTCTCGAGTTTTAAGGCTTCGATGTGCTCCACGTGAGCGTTTACCTGAGCGGTCATCTGTTCTAATGAAATGCATAGATTCTTGTTCTCCTCGGTGTGCTGGCGAAGAGTCTCCTCCAAAGTGCAAACTCGGCCTACTTTAGTAGGGAAAATGTCTCTGAGACGCCCGACGTTCTCCTGACTACACTGTAGCCTATCGTTCAGCTCTTTCATTCGACATTCTACCCGCTGCTGGAAGTCGTCAGAAGTGCGCTCTAATTCATACCGAACCTCCTGACAGTAATGGTCCGTTCTGCTGATGATGGTATGTAATTGCTGCTGGAACGCCTCTTCCTTGGCTTGTTGCTGAATGGAAGTTTCCTTAAACTTGCTCTCCAAGGCCTCGGTTTCCCGAAGCCTGGAACTTTTCAACGCTTCGAGCTGGTTTTCTGTTTCCTTCAACTTATCTGACAAAGTATTTATGCTCTCGCTGCTTCTTTCCTCTGATGTTTTCAGCTCGTCCTGGAGAGCGTTTCTCTCGTTCAGCGCCTGGTTGAGGTTTCTCTCTGCCGACTCCACCTGCTCTTTGAGCAACGCTTCACCCCGAGATGAAGTTTCGAGCTTGACCGCTGCTTCGTTGAGCTCTTCCTGCAGCTTCTGCACGGTGGTTTCGCGGATTGCCAATTCCTCCTGGATGTGTTTTAATTCCCGCCGTGCTTGTTCGTTCTCCTCTCTGCTGCTGTTCAGCTGCAGCGACGCTTCCTCCAGCTCCTGACTCCTCTCCTGTAGCGCGAGGGAATGTTTCTCCGTCAGCTCTTCCTCCTGCTGAGCCAGCTTCTCCTGCCAGCGACGCGCCAGCTCCTCGGCCTCGTGCTTCTGAGCGGRGCGCAGCTTCTCCAGCTCTTCCTTGTGGTTGGCCTGCAGCTCCGACACGGCGCTGAGGTCCTGGGAACTCTTCTGAGCCATTTCTAAGATTTTCTCCTGAACTTGCTGCTCCTTCTGTTGAAGCTCCAGCTCCTTCTTGGCGAGCTCCTTCTTTGCGTTCTCTTCGTTCTTCTGGAGCTTTTTCTTAAAGTTCTCCTGCATTTCTTTGGCCTTCTGCTTGAACTTCTCCATTTTTGTTTCCTGGGTTTTCAGCCTGGCTTCCATCTCAGCCGTAGTGTTTTTCAACTTCTTCTCGTAGTCGGCCTTATTATCATCCAGCTGTTTCTTGAGACGCTTTTGCTCCTCCAAGTTTCTGTCCAGCTCCTCTGTAAGTGTCTTCTCCTTCTCAGACAGCTCCTTTTTGGTTTCCTGTAACTCTTGTTCTACTTCTCGTAGCGACTTCTCTTTTTGTTGACAATCATTGTTTGCTACATCCAGCTGCTGCTTCAAATCCGTCAGCTCTCTCCTGCACTGATCCAGAACCTCTGAGACCTTACTAGACTCTGCATTAGATGTTTTGAGGCTCTCGTTTTCTTGCTGGGCACGTAACAAACTCTGTTGTAGATCTTCCAATTCCTTCACCTTGATTTGTAAGTTTTTTGCAGTGGAATTTGATTCCTCTTGTAGTGTTTTTTCTTTAAGGAGAAGTTGTTCAATCTCTTTTTCCTTCTCCTTCAGTACAATTTTTAGTGCATTGAGCTCCTGCTTCAGAGTTTTTTCCACCCCGCCAAGTGACTTTTCGTGGTCGTGTTTGACATTTTCAAGCTCAACGCTGTGCTTCGACATCTGATCTTGAACCTTTCTTTCGTATTCCTCTCGAGCATTCCTGGTCGTCTCCTCGGCCGCCGCCAGCTTCTCCTCCAGAAGCCGTTTGTTATTCAGAACCTCCGAAAGTTCGGACAAAAGTGCCTCCAGTTCTGCCTGCTTCGCATCCAGTTTCTCCAAAGTCTTCTGGTTCATGTCTTCGACGTGAGTCTGGAATTGCAGCTCTCTCTCTTTCAGAAGGTTCTCCAGTTCAACTTTGTGTTTTGTCTCGAGTTCCTCGACGGCAGAGTTATGCTCCTGGGTCAGAGTGTTCTTGTGCTTTTCCAGCTGCTCCTGATGTTTTTGTTCTAATGTAGCGATTTGCTCTTTGTGTTGATTCTTTAGCTCGTCCAGCTGAGAGGACAGTTCATCAGAGGGACTGGATTCACCTGGTGAGATCTTGTCCACAGAGCTCTCCAGCTCCAAAATCCTCTGTAAGCGCAAAAAACAGGTTTTACTTTAATGCAAACTGGGAAAAGCAAAAACAAGTTAATTGATCATTTTTTCTTCCGTACGTTTTTCAGCATCTTACTCATTCCACAATTTTTGTGCTATTTCAACAATTCATATATCAAAAACGTTCAGCTCATTTATGCCAAGGGAGCTATGATTTTTGGTATTTCAGCTATTTGACTTTTTCAGCCACTTTTTTCCCCATTGAAAATGAATGGAGCTGTCCAACATCCTAAAAACCCTTCAAAATGTTTCTAAATCTTTACAGCTTAAACATTTTGTTCTGTTCTGGTCTTTTTCACTTTCTTGTGCTAATTTCAGCTACTTTGTTTGTCAATTTTAGCTTTTTTCCTGCTATTTCAGTTAAGATTCTGATTCTGCTATTCTTCCGCCTTTTTCACCATTTTTCTCCTACTTTGTACTATTTATGCTTCTTACAGATGCTTTTTTTCTACACTCAGCTATCTTCTGCAATTTTAGCTAAAGTTCAGCTGTTATTAGCTAAAGTTTGCTGTTTTAAGCTAAATACACAGTTTTTGTAGCTATTACAACTTATTGCTGCTAAGTTCAGCAAACATGAGCTCCTTATGCTTCTTTATGCTAATTTAAAAAAAATCTAGCTACATTTTAGCTGTTTTTCAGAAAATTTCACCTGTTTTGGCCATTTACTACAAATTGAGACTTTTTTGTGCTTTTATGCTAATTTAAACTTTTTTCTACACAACTTTCACTATCTGGGTGTTAATTACAACTTGTAGCTGTTTTAGCTTTTTATGCTAATTTTAGCTTTTTAAAATTGTTTTTCAGCTTTAGATCTGCTTCTTTGTTATTCTTATGTTTTCTACTTTGTATTTTTTCTGCTAATTTCTGCTATTTATGCTTCTTACAGATGCTTTCAGCTATATTCAGCTTTCGTATTTTAGCTTTTAGCTGTTTTCTGTTTTGTTTTCAACTAGATTTGRGTTTCTTTTTACTGTTTTTCTGCAAAGTTAGGCTTTATGCCTTTAGCTTTTCAAAGTGAGATCAATTTTGTTATTAAATATTTTCAGCTCAATTTCAGCAGCTTTCAGCTTAAGTTTTCAGCATGAAGCATTCACACTAGCATTTTCGTGGGAAATGCAATTTCTCTAGTTATATTTTCCAACAAACCGCTCTAGTACAATCAAATGCTTTAAAAAGGGTGAAAAACCACAAAACACTCCATCCTTCTGTTTTCCTGACATCCAATAGAATGAATAGAATCATATTTTCCTTAATTTGTGCTAAATTAGCTAATTAATGCACAAGTTTTCAATTTATTTTTGCTAGCAGTGAACTACATTTTTAGAAAACGAGTTTCAAAAATAAAAAAAACTCACAGTCTTTGCGGTCTCCAGCTCCAGCTGCATCTCTTTAATCTTATTATCAGCTTCTGTTCTTACAGCCGTCTTCTGCAGCTCTGCATCCTCCAGAGCGAGAGTCGCTTGTTGCTCTCGCTCCTTCGAAATCTGCGCAAACTCCTCTTTGCATTGCTCCTGAACAGCAAATCAGTTAAAAATATGATAATGCAAGTTAGGCTGTTTAAATTTATACAGCAAATATAAAAATAATTTTTTTTTTCTGTTCACTTAGGAAAATACGCCTCTGACTTGTGGGGTCCCTCAAGGCTCTATTCTAGGCCCTCTGCTTTTTAATTTTTACATGTTGTCTCTGGGGTCCATCTTTAGTAAATATAAGATTCCTTTCATTGCTGATGACATCCAGGTTTGTCTGCCTATAAACCAGACTTAATTAATTAACTCCAATCACTATTCATTAATTTGGCTGAATTGTGAAGCCCTTTAGTCTACTCATGTTGTTTTTATGTGCAACATAAATAAATTGACATCAACATATAAAGGAGCATAAACATACCACTGCTTTGCTGATTTTGTCTTTTAACTCCTTTTCTTTAGCAGCTAATTCTTCACTGTGAGTCTTTTCCAAATTGGCCACAGTTTCCTCTGATGATTTCTAATAATAAGAGATTAAAAAAGTCAAAATCCACACGTTAAATTATGAAAACCAAAAGTACACAGTGTCAGAATGTAGGTTAGTCTTTTACTGACCCTCATAACTTTGACATCATTTAAATGAATGCTATATTTAAATTTTATTTATTGTGCCAATGATTTCTTAAAAAAAGTTTCTAACCTTCATGATGGTGACAACTTCCTGTTTGACACGTGTGAGCTCCTGCTGAAGACTCTTCCTCTCCTCTTCACCGGCCCTTTCAACTTCTTTCACTTGCTCCTCCAGCTGAACCTGCAGCTGTTTCCTGGCCTCCTCTGCTTTCTGAGCTACACCCAGAGCCCGCTCCAGCTCCTCAAAAGCTTCAAACAAACAAACAGAGCACATCACCGTCAGGARCGTCTCCCCTCACCCCCCCAGCTCCCACGCACTTTCAGACGTTGATTGCGCTCACCTGATTTCTCAGCCTTTTCTTTCAGCTCCTGCAGTTCTTCTTTCCGAGTGGTAACCAGCTGGAGCCTGGAGCGCAGCTGTGCGATCTCCTCCTCTTTCATTTCCAARGTCTCGTGCATCTGCCGCTTTGTCTCAGCAATGACCATTCCCTATAAAAAATAATTAAAAAATATTCAGTGAGAGTTCAAAGTGTTTGGTTTCTTCACTCAATGAAGGAAAATAACCAAGTGAACCTTAAACAGCACCTACTATGGTTCCTTGAACAAGTTAGGATACATCTGTGGGCTATACAGAACATCTGATTTAACTCACTAAATGAGTCTCAGATGATGAGATTTCACCTGGTCAGTTCTGCCTGTTCTGAGCTCCTTTCAGAATGACCTGTTTAAGCAAATAAGCAGCTGTTGGCTCCGCCCACCTACCCCTTTGTTTACGTTAGCCCTGCCCTCCCAACACAGTTTATGTTAGCACTTCAGATTATATGAAAATGCCTAATACAAGCAGATGCACAATGGTACAACCGTAGTAGACGGGTCTTCAAACATTTTTGCTTCCAGCCCACAAAGTAACAGTTGCAGACACTCGTGATCCCATGAATTACTTGTTTACATATGTAAACTTTGCTAATAACTCTGTTAAACATGGGAATAGTAACTATAAACAAACTTAGTAACTATTAAACTAATTTTTATTCATTTATAATTATTTTAAAAATTGCAATAGTCATGATTAAAATATTCCATTAGCATATATTTTGCATTTAAATTGATGTCTGGAAGTCATCTGGGGACCCTCACATGATGCTTTGTGACCAACAAAGAGGTCCTGACCCCAACTTTGGGAACCACTACACGAGAAGAAATACTAACAATACTTTGCACACAGAAAATATTGTCTTATGTTGATTCGGAGGAATGTTCCATGGGCCAGATGGGTTTTTAGTGCGTTAGAACTGGCTTTTGCTAAATTTTTAAGTGTGTTAGTGCTTTAGAATTGGGGGACCTAAATATTAAATTTAGTGCTTTAGGGTTAGTGCAACAAATTTTTAGATTAGTGCTGCCCACCACTAGGTGACGGGGAGGCCAATGCTCGTCCATTGCCGCTTCCGGAGGCCGGCGTTGTGGGGTGGGGGTCCAAAAATAACCCCCCGAAATCAAGCCACGCATCTCTGTTCTCTGTGACTGTTGTTAAAACAGAACAAATGTGGTCGTACTGTAAAGAAGTGGGCGGAGTCTCCACTTGGGTTACCAGGTGAGGGGCTGGGCTCATCTTAGGCATTGCTATGCTATCCGGATTGTGACGCAACAGTCCGCACGTTTTTGAAACAGTTCATTCTGCTGACACTGACAAAATATTTACCGTACATTTTGCCAAAAATGTAAGGCAGGGAGTATTTTTTTTGGCACCTGGAGTGTTTTTAGAAGTAGTACAAACCCAAATTGAAGCATATGCATGAAGCATGGTCACTTATCACTGGATCTAACTGCACTACTCCAACTATATTGTCTGCTCTGATTACTGTATTGAACTGGTGTACATACGTGTTATATATTTTATTATATTTTTCCTTTATCTTATGTATTTTCTTTACTTGTTATATTTTATACTTATTGCACCTTTACACTGAAACAAATTCCTAGTCTGTGAATTCTGTTCATTGACAATGGCAATAAAACTGATTCTGATAAAAACGTAAAAAAAAAGTGAATTATGCATTATAGGTCCCCTTTAAATCTAATGTGACAAAAGTGAAAAAAGCTTTAACGGACCTTATCCTGCTCCAGTTGTTCAATAAGATTCTTGGCGTCCCGCAGCTGAGTGATCAACTTAGTCTTTTCTGTTGTGTGCAGCTCCTGTGAACAGAAAACATTTGACAGAGTTTAATGTAATCATGTGTCTAACAGGAATAAAATACAGTATATTCATAACGCATGTGATTTTCTATTTCCTGTTAATGTTTTGGTCACTGAACTTCAAAATGAGATGTTTTCTGCATCAGGATGTTTCTCCCATGAAGCAAATGACCCCACCCCAGCTAAATCAATAAATAAAGCCAATTACAGCCCAGTTTCATTGCAGTGCTTTCAGAAATTGTGACTCAGGAAGCTGGAATGATTTTTACATTATACGGTGCTTTAAAAAGCCTGGCTTAGAAGTGCTAAATTTTCCAGAACAAAGTGCAGATTAAAGATAAAACTCACAGCAATAAACAACATAAAATGATGTTTCATTGCTATCTGTTATGACAGATTTACAGCAGCAAGCTGTCGCCATCCCACGCTGCAAAACATCAGAGAGGGCGATGGACGAGCCACTCGAGCCAAACATACCACTGAAGCAAAATGTTTTGAGTTCAATGAAAACAATGATCCGGTTCTGTCAGGCTGACATGACATGAACCCTCCTTATGGAGCCCGGCCAGGGAATGTGGATGTTTGGACACTGGGAACCACAGCCATCCTCTGTGTCACAGAGATAATGGAGTCGCATTATCAGCGAACCGTAACGACTTTAATTGCCCTAAGCACACTGGTGGGCTCGGCCCTCCCTCGTTTTAATCAAACCTCTTTATAACAAGAGTTTTCTGCAAGCTAAAATTCCAGAGTGTTTATCTAAAAGAAAAGACTAGAGATATTYGGACTGTGCTCACAGCCTGAGGTGTTTTAAACAAACCCAACTAGAAAATCTTTCAATAAGACCTAAAAACAGACTTCAGGCACCTTCATCTTCTCCAGCTCCTGCAGTCTCTCCTGCAGCTGCTCCTGCAGAGTTTCGTTCTCACTGCTCAGCTGTGCGCTCTGCTCCTTGTGGGTCCGCATCATTTCTTTGCACTTCAGCAGCAGGTTCTCTTGCCTTTTCACCCTCTTCTGCAGACCCTCTATTAGTTTGGCTGGATCACTGTTGCCCTCTGCTGTCCAGAGAAAGGGAATGCGGCGGGTTAAATACATTTATGTAAACTTAAGAGGACTTTTATATAAGGGTGTAAAACTATTTTGCTTGCCTTCTGTGCCTTCAGGTTCCAGTCCTTGCTCTTTAATTGGACTCTGGACAGCAGACAAAGATTCTTGAGCCACCTCAGACTGAGGAACTTCACCCTCCGGGAGGAGCGAACCATCAGAGACCCCTTTGACTCGCTTCTTTAACAGAGCCACCTTTTTGAGAAAGGAAACAATTATTCTCCTTTATTAGTTGATTAATTTGGTTTCAAAATTGGCATTCATATCCTTCCAAAAGTATGGGGTCAAAAAAACAACTTTACATTTATGATTATGATTTGGGTAGTTTAGGCAAAGGATGAATAGCTGAACTCCAGTGGTTTTTAACAAAGCTAAACTTTAAGGGGACACGCACCTGTGTTTGGAGAACAGTGATCATCTGGTCCTTCTCCTCCAGGGCTGCATCAAACTCATCCTGAAGATGTTTCTTGGCTTGTTGGTCCATTTGAAGCTCCTGCATAGTATTAAGTATTTTATTAAAAATAGATATTAGAAATAGATGCTGACTTTTATACTGTGAAGCATAATCACCTCACGGAGCTCTCCGATCCTGCGAAGAGATTTATCTTGACTTTGACTGAGGATGGCCTGAGTAGACGAAAGAAAGAAACATTTAAGATTTTAAAAATGCATGAAAATGATGTTTTACCATCTTGAAGGGAAAAAAAATAAAAATAAAAAACAGCTGAAATTACCTGCGTTTTCTCTTTTTCTCGTTGTACTGTTCGATACGCGGTAACCAGCTGCACACATACAGAAAGAAACACAAATATCAAAGTTTTTCACTAAACAATTTGTGAATTTAATCTACTAATGACCTTTTCTCTTTGAGTACCTCACCTCGGAGTACTTCCCCCTGTACTTCCCCAGACTCCTCTCCACTTGAAGCAGTCGGTGCAGCAGCTGCTCTTTAGAAAGCGACTCCGCACTTCCTGGTTGCTCCTCGGCTTCGCTCTCGATATCAGACGGCGGGTCGTACGCCGGAGCCGCGGGAGACTCGTTCTCTCCCAAAGGCGTCAGCGACTCACGGGAAGCACTTCGGACCAGGTTTTCCTTTGAGGAGGAGCGGAAGAGGGTCTCCGCCCGACTCGCTCCACTGCGAATCAGCGACTCCATGGAGGGAACTTTCAGCTGAAGTTTCTGAGTGAACGACTGGGACTCCTCTCTCTGATAACGGCATAAAAAAATCTTTCAAAAAATGTGAGACACTTTAAATCATGTGTCAAACTCAAGGCCCTTTATTCGGTCTCAAATGTAATATTGTAAATTAGTGCTGGGCGGTATGACCCAAATTTTACACCACGGTATTTTCAACAATTATATTGGTATCACGATATTTGACCATTTTTCTTTTCATCACAGCTCAGCTGATAATAAAAACGTACAAATGTTGCTTATTGATTTGCAAACCACTCAGCTGAAGACTGTCTGTGTCGCTGTTTCCCTCCTCTACATGTCTTTTCTTCTTTGCCTGGTTGTAGACAGCAGTCATGCATTTTGGTACGGTTGTAAAGGAGGAGGGTCGAGCAAAGATCATTATTGGGTTTATCGTTTTGTGTTATTTAATAAAGCTTAACAGGACAACATCCTCCTGTACCAGTCAACTCACCCAACACAGAACCACTTCCTCCCAGGCTTTTCACAATAGAAGCACATTAACGTTACCACACACTTATGTTACGCATTAAATCTATCTGTGCACGTCACTGAAGAGGTGTATGCTACATTCAGCGATGACGAAATCATGAATTTTTTTTAACGTCAGTCAATAAAAGCATCGGAATCACTGGATTTTTGGTACGAAACAGTATACTGCCCAGCTCTATTTTAAATGAAAATTAGAAATATCAACATGCTTTGCATCACTGCAACATTTTCTTGACAGCAGTCGACTTCAACTCTATTCTCTTCTATTTTTAAAGTAAAATAACTGGATTTCCTGTAAGGTTTTTTTTAATGATTTGCTGGATTGTGATAAAATCTCTATGAAATAGTCAATTAAATAAATATTTTTTTTTCTTTGTTAGAGTATGTATGTGKGGGGCGGCTGTGGCGGAGTGATTAGGGGAGTCATCCTGGAACCGGAAGGTCGCTGGTTCGATCCCCCGTCCAGCCGTTTCAGTCATTGTGTCCTTGGGCAAGACACTTCACCCACCTTGCCTACTGATGGTGGTCAGAGGGTCCGGTGGTGCCGGTGCATGGCAGCCTCGCTTCTGTCAGTGTGCCCCAGGGCAGCTGTGGCTACAGTGTAGTTTGCCATCATCAGTGTGTGAATGTGAGTGTGAATGGGTGAATGTCTGTTGGTGTAAAGCGCTTTGGGGTCCAGAGGGACTTGAAAAGCACTCTATAAGTTCAGTACTATTTACCATTTACCATGTATGTTGTACATATAATATACTTTGGAAAAAAGGAATTTGTAGAAGGATAATATTCCTTCAATAAATATTGACAGATTGGGCCTTGGCTTGGACCAAGTTTTGAATTTTGTCCCTCTTGTGTAACTGAGTTTGACAGTCCTGTTTAAACGGCTCACAAAGGATGTGTTAAACGTACTTGAGGAGAAGAGGTACCGTCCCCATTGATGCTGCCTCTGGGAGACCTCGCAGGTCCTTTGGAGGTGCTCTGCTGAATAAAAACACTTGATGAGACAAAGAAAAGCTGTGCTGATGAACCTGTTCCTGAGCCAGTTAGTCATCCACACCCAGCATGGCTCTCCCTGATTTCTCTGGAGGGAGCAATATTAGTATTGCTGGGAGCAATGCAGGGGCAATGGGTACCCTCATGCAAATTGGAAAAACAGAGGGGTTAAATACATAACAGAAGGCATCTCTATTAAAAAAACAAAAAAGGGTTAAAATGTTACTGTAGAGAACAGCCATGAGGTCGGGCAGACAGAGTTACACTCAAGCAGCACAGCTGGTTTTTTTGGATTAAAGATGCTGTGTGAAGCTGTATTACAAGAAGTTACACGTAAATTACGTCAACATTTAGCAGCCGACTTGGTTTAGTTGACATTTTATCAACAGGATCAGAAAAAGAAAGTCTTCTCCTGACTTGTCAAGCTCCAACTTCCTCCTTCCTCTGGGTTACAGAGTAAATCATTAACTCATGTTAACTTTGAATTTCTTTCCTGAGGAACCGTCGTTACGCCTTGTGACATTTTAAAGACACAAAGAAGCACAATTTTTCCAGTTTTATTGTCCGAGGCTGAGAATTTATAGGGGCAGAGATTTTCACGAAAAAAAACAGTTTTCCAGCTTGTTAACCTTTTGAGAGTATCTGAATTACCAGGGATCAAAAGGTACAATGTGGTGTTTCTGTTCAGTAGACTGATAAAATTGTTTTATGAGCAATACACAAAAATCTAATCAGCGCAGGCCTAAAGTTTTTATTTAGAAAAAGCAAACCAAACTGATTTATAGAAAGTTAATAATAAAAAAAATATATATATATTCTTCAAATGAAAAGCTCTGCAGGCTACATCTAATAACCAGATTATTTCTATAACCTTTTTAGAACATCTTTTATTTTATTTTGTTTTCCACRGTTGATCATTTACTACTTGATCCAAACACTTTCTTTGCTGCCCATTTATTTATGCTCAGGTTCAAGACTATATATAAAAATATAAAAATGTCATGCAGAAAACCAAGTGTTGTCCATTTCTCCAGTATAAGCTCCAACAACAAAACACGACATCAAAATACTCAAAGGAAAAACAAAAATTTGAGGCAGTTTTGAATCCAGTACTATGATCCACAGATACAAAACAAGACAAGAAATCCACGTTTCTACACCTAAAACAGTCAAAAAGAAAGAAAGAAAAAAAAACCTTTAGTAAAATAATTGATGGGATTTATGTGGGAAGATTCAGACATCAACATTATGTGAGGACATAATGTTGTTAGAACATGATAATGGGATGAACTTGGGATGTTTGTAGTTATTACCAAGGGTTCTAGGACATTTGCCCCACCCCCCACCCCACATTGGGACACTTACCCCCCGCCCTCAACTATTAGTGCTGTCAACCAAGAGTTTCAGCCCTGATATTAGTGGGTAAATGTACATTTGATTTCTAAAGATTTATGGTGTTTTTGTTGTGTCCTAGGGCCCATACGTGTCCTAGGCGAAACGTGTCCTAGGGGGATACGTGTCCTAGGGGGACAKGTGTCCTACGGCAGTGTTTCCCAAAGTTGGGGTTGAAACCCAAAGTGGGGTCCCGAAAAATCAAGGTGGGGTCCTGAAAAGATTTTRMGAATTAATGACATTTTTGCCTTAGTTGTTACAAAGGAGTGAGGTTAGTGTATTTAAAATCTTCASAGAGCTTTGTTTACACTGAAATACAGCAGTGATGTGACCAAACCAGACATGGACTTAATGTCAAAAACTGAAATATGTTCTTTACTAGCAGGTATTTACCAGCGTTAGTGCCCACTTTGTTAATTACAAGCTAGTTAAACACAAGAAATTCAAGTTTCTGATAAGTGATGTTAGAGATCAGTTACATGTGTTTTTAGTACCAGTTAAATGTTTCAAACTCATCAAAARATTCATCCAAGTTTTGACTGATACCTTTCAATGAGATAAATCAAAAGGGGTTTGATTTGTGTTAACTTGTGTAGCACAAACGTTTTGATTTTGTGAAGACGTGTTGCGTGCCATGAAAAATGTTGATTAGGTTGTAAAGTGTTGCAAGTGTTTTATGCTTTATTCACAGACAARGAAAGACATATTGTCAAGTTTTGGAGAGCTGCAGGGATATTTACAAAGCTGTTCTGGTCTGTTTGTTTAATTGGAGAAGTTTACAACAAACTGAACATTTAAACTCTGCAAAAAAGACTAAACGTGCATAAAGTATCAACTCTCCAAATAAACAGACATGTTGGGAGAAGGGACAAAGGTCACCGGGCAACATAACAGGGGTCTTAAGGTCTATAAAGCAAGCAACTAAGYCTACCCAGTTCTTTGACAGGCTTAATAACAAAGGTGGGACAATAAACCAACACAGGGCAGAAAAGCACAGAAGATTTGATCTCACGATCTACACCACATCTTCAGTTAGATGCAGGGTTAGCCTACATTGAGATGCCTTCTTCAATCCGATGCAAACAGGAGACAGATCAGGAAACAAGCTGTCCCTACTTGGGCCACAGTCCTCTACAAATCCCCCCCCAAAAAAACGCGCAGAAGATGGGAGGAAGGAACAGGACAGGAGGAGGAAGAGGAAAAGGAGGACGACGAGAAAGAAGAGGCAGGAAGTGAGGACAAACTCACCACACTGGCTACCTGAGCCGTTTTGGGTCGTTTTGAATGGTCCAGAGCAAAGATAGTATACTCAGAGAGAAAAGCGGGCTCTGCTATCATCCCAGCCAGCATCTGACCCCCCCGTCAGTGCGGTGGTGGGGCGAAAGGTGGGGGAAAGGAGAGGGACACAGAGAGCAATGAGAAAAAAATCAACACCATGAGAGTGAAATAGTGCRGAGAGTGAGGGGTGGGGGCGGGGAGCGCAGCGTCTAACCAGCCTGTCCGGTGCTCAGCTGGGCGACTGACATGGATGAAGAAGAAAAAGGTTTAAAGTGAGAAGGAGTGAGAGACACAACATGAACTGGAAGAAAAATAAGAAAAGCTGAAAAAGTGAAACACTTCCTTAACATCGATGATTTGAATAACAGTTTGACATCTCTTTATCTAGCTTTTGTGATTTAAAGAAAATGGGTCAAATCTGCTTCAGGTGATTAAAAGCACTCAAAGTGAATATGTCAAAGTGTTACAACTTTGTGGGATGGGAAAAAAAGATGCTGCAATGTCAGCAGAAATTTGTATACTGAAAGTATGAGTATGATCATGTCTATATTTTAACAACAAAGTGTAAACTCAAAACTCTTCCATATTCAAGTTTTGCAAAAGATGCACTAAAAARCTGCTTACATTCACTGTTTGTACATCTATGCATCTTTAAGTCTCTCATTTATCAAGAAACAACTGCACAAACTTGCCCGTATCCACAGGAGTACATCTAACCACAAAAGAAAAAAAAAACCTCTGAAAGGAGGATACATTAATTATTCAAACACAAGCTGAAACTCAGTCTGCACTCCTAGCTCTTGTTAAAACAGCCTCTGCATCGTTGCTAAATAAAAATCCCCTTTCCCCTGAGCTGTTCCAGAATAATTATGGTTCAGCATCACTTATTACCCATCATAAAAAAAACAAATGCTATTTCATTTCCTGCTGTTTTCAACAAGAAGTCACACAGTTGGTTAAATAACATTTTTAAAATAAGCAGGGCTGTAAAAAATAAATAGAAAAGCATCAAACGTTTATTTCTCCGCAACATTAAATATCAGCAAGTTGTTCTGGTCCATATGTTGTGAGGAAATTACAACCTTGCATAAGATTGCAACAATACAGTTTAAAATACTCAGCAGTCATACCTAATGCTTGTTTTAGATTTAATTTAGTGTCAAAATAAAATAAAACAATTTGCATTTTCATCCTACAGCKTTTTTTGTCTCTCCCTTCATTTTAATCATTAGGTCCTGATGCGTTATTGGGTGAATAATATAACAACGTACTGAGAGAAGAATTAATCTGGGTAAAAAAATCAGAGTGTACGCAGGGAGGTGCAGGATGCAGTTTGAACAAGCACACACACAATAGCTATAKTGCAAACCAATTTAAATCTGTTATAAACTCACCTCTCTGTCACTGGGTGAGGGCATACCATCCTGATGAAAAGGAGGGGTCTGGCTGCTGCGCCGTTCTCCTCCGCCCACCTATTAAAATACATTAATAAGAAATAAAAGATTATTTGAGGCAAAGGAAAAACAAAAATCTAGAACTTGATTTGATTGAAATAATGATGCTTTTCTTTTACTTTTAATGAAACTTAAAGTGCCTGTGGCATGCATATACTTCATATACAAATTGTCAAGAGAAAACATCTTTATATTTCCAAAACTTGGAACAATGGGCCTCATGCAAGAACATGTTCGTATTCTTATCCTAAATTTCTCTTACTTTTGTTCGTA